AACGAGACAGACCATCTCGAGTTCCTCTGGTGTGATCTTCGGTCGGGGCGGGAACGTCGAGGGCGCGGACTCGGAGCCAGTCGAAGTCGTCGAGGCGGGACCGGGCTTCTTCGTTTCGCCAGCCGCCCATGTCGGTTTCGAAGTCGCAGTCGCCCTTGGCGAGGGAGGCTTCTTGGGGGCTGGCTGTGGGGGGAGGAGGGGTGGTTAGGGGGTGGTTAGGGGGCGGTTAGGGGGCGGTTTTGTTAAAAGCGAGGGGAATTTTTTACTTGGGCAGACGTCTTTGGAGAAGGAGATGTCGTCGATGGCGATGTCGCCGAGTCCGTTTCTTCCCACCGTCGCCTCGAACAGGATCTGCGCGGAACCGAAAGGGTCAGAGGTCAAAGGTCGTGAAGGACACATCGAAGGGCACGGAAGGACACGGGCGAACGGACCCTGAAGTCGGACGTGGAAGCGATGGGGACCTGAGACTGGTACCACGTGTTCCCCTGCGGCCCGCTCATGGTCCACAGCCGACGCAGGTCCTGGTTGGCGGGCTGGATGTAGACGGAGAGGGTGCCGATGCCGTTCCCGAACATGTGGGTCCAGAATCGCATGCACAGCGGTTGGTCGATGTCTGTGGTGGAGGGGGGGGGGGTGTTATGGTAATGGTACGGGGATTTAAAAGGCATACAACCGACGCTTTACCTGTGGCCCTCCAATTCCCGCTGGCCAGCCTGGCCCTGTCGCCCGGCTTCCTCGGGTAAGCGGAATGGATGTAAGCATACCCGCCGCTCTTCCCGCCGAAAGCGGCGCTCGTCCTGTCCCGCCGCGGGCCCGTCTGCTCGTTCTCGCTCCCGCGCCCCTGCCGATCGAAATCATTTCATGTCTCCCCGTTTTTTTTTTCTCGCTCGGAGGTGTGGAGACTCACGAGGGACCATTCGAATTCGTCGTCGCGTCCCTCGTTGGTCCAGGAGCAGAAGCCGCCGTCGAAGGTGCAGTGGCCGTTGCAGTCTCGGGCGGGACGGAAGTAAATGTCGTCGACGGCGAAATACCCGCGGTAGAAGCGGCGCTCGTCCGTCCTTGGCAGCCCTTCCAGGACCACCTGAGCAGGTGAAACACACGTGAGCAGGTGGAACACGCGTGAAAAGGTGGAGCACGCGTGAAAAGGTGGAGCACGCGTGAAAAAACGACTCGATTTCGAGTGTGACCTTGAGAGGGAGCTACGCCCTTTAGCACCTACGCCCTCTTGTGCAAGAGGGCGTATCTAAACGCCCTCATCCCCTTCGCATCTTTCGCATTGGAGCCAATTTCAGACTCCAGGAACGGAGCAAGCACAAGAGGCAAGAGTTCAAGACGCGCCTCGTTGGGAAATCTCTCCCGGCGCTTGGAACATTTACTTTAACCATTGAGAAATGTAAGCCTTCGTTAAACGTGATCGTAATAAATTTTCCGCTGTCTGTATTTGGTCCTCCACATCAAATTTCGTTGAAATTTTTTTTGCAGCTGACTTTGATTCTTCAAGCAGCAAATCGTATTTAAAATACTTTTCGATTGATTTCAGCCTGAGACTTACCGATGAACGAAGGGGATGAGGGCGTTTGCCTCTACTTCATAATTTATATGTCCATTCCATTGATATGACTTACTATTGATGCAGAACGGGATCGGATTGGCTGAAATTGTATCCGC